AAAGGTCAAAAGTCAAATCCAAGGGCATATTTGGAATCTTCACATATGACTTTTGGGCAGGCTTCTGTAGTAATTTTTCCCATAATTCCTTCGATTTGGGAGATATTTGGCATTGAATTTTCAAAAATTTTGACAAGGGTGTGTTTCAACGAGCGTCATGCCCAGGCCAATGCACTGACTGAGACAAAAAGACCAGGGGGTTCAAGTTGAGATTATAGGTGACCTAAATCCAAGAGATGGGGACATGGGTCTTTGCAGTCTAGGAGGAGAAGAGGTAACGGTGACTTGTATCCGGCGCCAGTACGCGGAGCCGGCGGAGCTGCAGGAGCCGGCGGAGCCGCAGGAGCCACAGGAGCCGGCGGAGCCGTACGAGACGGGTCGGGACTAAAACCATGAGTACCGCCAGCGTACACGCTGGTGGTACTAATAATCATATAATGTGGTAGACTTCATTATTGATTTTTTACAGTGCTTTATCTAAAAACCATGATTGGAAGATTAAGTGGAAGATAACAGATTTATATAATAGCTAGCTGGGTGTCAATTAATTGGTTCTTTTACATCCTTGTTAATCTAATAGTGTACTACTTCGTAGAAGGAAGCAGTTCACCGTACTATAGCATTACACTTTGACTTAATCGCATCTGTGTGTGTATAAGTGTGCGTGTATGTATGTCCCAGCATGCACACATGCACACTCTCTTACTTCAGTGGGCTAGCTCCGTGTGCCAGTAACGTAGTTATCAGCAGCTCGTGGCCGTATCTGGCGGCAATGTGAAGTGCCGAGTTACCTGACTTGTCCACAGCATCTACTATGGCTCCTGAACACAATAATACAGTTACTGATTAGAAAGCTGTTTAACATTAAAAAAATATACATAGAAACTAATCTATGAATTCATTGACAAATAAATAAATTATTTCTAATTTATTTATGATGTAATATATTAACTAATAAATTATGAATTATTAATCAATTTATTTATTTATCACTCTAACCCACCATGCTGTATCAGAGTCTGTGCTCTGGCAAACCTCCCGTGGAGAGCTGTCATGTGGAGAGGAGTCTTCCCATCTCTGGCCTGAAACATGATATAAAACACCTAATTTGATATTCGATTTAGCGATTAGATATACAGAAGATAATATGAAGACTTCCACATATACCACTGCACGGACTGTGGTTTCCAATGACATTGGGTCTGCCCAAGTTTTTAGAACATCCCCAAAAATCCTTTTTAGTAGGATTCCAAGCACGAAATAAGAGAGAACTACTAAGGCAACAGCACTATTGGACTGTTTTCTCACCTGCACGTTCATGTTCGCGCCCTCGTTTACCAGTATCTCCAGACACATGGCGCCGTGTGTTGAGGCAGCAGCAAAGTGCAACGGTGTCTGGCAACAGAAAGAAATAGGAAATCAAATACAAAGTTGTTAACATTTGGAAACAAAAAAGCAGTTCAATTGTGAATAAATGTATAAATTTGTACAAAAGTTAAGGAGTCTTGCACAGGACACATTCACTAAATTAACTCAAATCCTTCACCAGATGGACTTCTTCCAAGAGAAGCTCAACAATGTCAAGTTTCTGACAATAAATGGAGTGCCAAGACAAGCTTACCTGTCCCTTGTTGTTGACAGAGTTCAGCGAGGCCCCGTACATGATCAGCTCGTTGACCGCCACATCTTGACCATTCAGACAGGACACATGGATTGGCGTGTTGCCAAAGGAATTGACTGCGTCCACTTCCACACTGAGCTCCAGAAGGAGTTTAATGACGCTGATCTGACCACTGCAGCAAGCAGCATGGAGGGGGGTGTACATCTGGAAAAACATGGGGTACCACAAATATAGGTACGGAATGGGCAGCTAGGTTTAGGTAAAATCTCTTTAGATTTGTTTCTGTTTATATATGTCTGTCTGTTTTCAGGTATGAGAAGTATATAGGCTACTTTTAAAAATGGTCGATGTAAACCAACCCTAATAAAACAGTACTGAGTGAATGAAAGGTCACCATTTTTAAGCTTTGATAATTATGCTGTAAGCTTACAAACAAAACATATTGTACACCTGGTCCATTTATATATAAAGCATTTAATCAAAGTTATTGGTAAAAAATGATGGAAATAAAGAGTATATATCTCTGAGTATCAATACCTGTTTATCTCTACAGTTCAGCTCTGCTCCGTGCTGGATGAGGATACGAACCACTTCCACGTGCCCCATGTACGCTGCCCAGTGCAGAGCGCGCCGGTCCTTCTTATCAAATGCATTAATGGATGCTCCCTTCTCCAGCAGCAACTGTGTCATCTGGGATATTAATTATACGTCTAGTCTTAATAAATCCTTAAATCCTCAGGACTTAATAAGCAAGGTAAAAACTAAAACTACCGATGGGTCATTAAAAGATGATTTTTAAAAAATATTCTAAATAATGGGAAATATTTATCTAATGTTTCCTCTGGATCACAATGAATGCAGAGATACACTGGTGAAGTCATGCACATGCACACACATTCATGTGCATGTTCAAAAACAACCACAGTAGAAATTGGCATCAGGTGAAGCAGCAATAATACATCTCTCTTAGACTAGTGAACTTTGCTTATTAAAACATACAGCTGCTGTGCTTTGTGTGTGTGTGTTATATATTGCATTATCAGTATTAACTGCATCTTTTTAACAAAATACTTGCAATATGCATAATTATTCTTTCTCTTTTTTATTGATTAGGTAGAAAAAAATATTGATAACTGATTTTTTCTTGAATATAGTAAACTTTTCCTATAAAAGCAGCTGCTGTATTTTGTTTCTTTTCAATAAAACATCTTCCTGCAGGAAGTTATATCCCCAGCCCTTAACACAAGTATTAGTACCATTGTCTCTTTACCTCAACATGTCCATTAAAAGCAGCATGGTGCAGTGCAGTTCTCCCTGCTCTGTCAGAAACATTGACATTGTTCAACAATGGAATGATGTACTCGGCACATTTCACAGCGTTGTTGGCTGCAGCAACATGGAGGGGTGTCTGCCAGTTCTTGTCTCTGGCGTTGACGTCGGCTTGATGGCGTAACAAGGTTTCCACTGCATCCTGAAACACAGTCAGCGCAAAAAGATTATTTGATCAATTTGCAGGTTTTCACCATAAAAGCACACACTGATAATTTTAGCATGGTCATCAGGGTTTTGGCCATCATTTCAAGAGGAACAAGTTACAAGGGAAAGGGAATTCACTTGGTGGGGAAATATCAATATAACACTGACAGCAAATCAAAATACTGTTTTAGCTGTGACACAAATTCACAATATTGTGTTAGCTGTGACATCAAGTCACAATATCGTGATAGCTGCTCAAATACTCACATCACTCCTGGAGCAGCAAGCTCTGTGAAGTGGTGTCAACCAGCGGTTGTCCTTGGTGTTCACTCGGGCCCCGCTGAGAATAAGAAGGTCACAAATCTCCGCCTCTCCACAATATGCCGCAGCATGCAGGGGGCTCCTTTTTTCTGAGTCCTATAAAGGAAAAGAGATATAAATAAAATAAAGCAGAATAGCATTTTACTTTTTATTCTCATTTTGAGTGATCACAGTCGCAATGTTTGGTAACCCAGCAGGCAAACGACATTGATTCTACTTTGATTCAACGTTAATACACCAAAATTAACTTGGATTCAACGGTGAATCAATGTCGTTTGTCTGCTGGGTATGTGAAGGTCTCCTTCTAACAGGGAAACAAACATGTCAAATAACTGATCTAAAAACATGAGAAGTTGATGTTTTCTATTTTGATGATCTTCAAGAACATTTATTTTAAGTGATAAGAGGAAGGGACAAGTAATCTGTTGTAGACTCAAGGCAAACTTGCCTGATGTATTTCTTTTTCATTCCAAAAGGTCAATTTTTAGCTCCAAAAAAGTTTTTTTTTTTTTTTTTAGAAGTACACGACCTAAAATTCATTGACTGTATATTCTCACCTGGTAGTTGACATCTTCCTTCTTATACAGAAGAGCTCTCACCTCGTCTGCGTCTCCATGGAAACAGGCTTGAACCAGCTGAGGCTGAAAAGACAACGGACGTCTTGTTGGCAAAATATGGACGGAATTGTACATGACTCTGAACTCTCAGTTTTACATCAGAATGAATTTTTTCAGCTGGAAACAAAATGCCTCAACTGACTGGAACAGCGTATATACTAGTACAAAACGAGGGGTGCCATGCCATGGTCTCCTATTTCAGCCTGTTGTTTTGTATCAACAAATATATTTCCTATCTCCACAGGAATGAAACTTGTTCCAAAGTTCTTTGGATATGCCTCTAGTAGTGGGTTAAGAGCACTTGATCTCAATAATAGACATATTAGTCCCATACTAGTACATGCTTTTATAGATAATCAGTATCAAAGTCCTCCTGTATGCTTGTTTGTTTGAGGTTCTGGAGATATTTGAAATACCAGATCCCTGGGTGCTTGGTTTCAAGGGTTAATGTAATGCTGGGAACTAACATTTTCAACATTTGCCATGTAGGGCATGAGAAAGCAGACTTAAATTCAGGTTAAGATAAAGACTTCATATATATATATATCATAATGCCAAACACAGCAAAGACGTTGAGGGAGTACAGTAACAGGGTTGAGTAGACATGGTCAAGGACTGGACAAACCAATATGGTGTCAAGCATTGGTCAACCATCTAGAGAGAGTATACCCTCCCTCAGGGAAGATTTGCCTGGATATGACAACTGGTAAGAAGTAGTCTTTCTGACATAGAACAAAACAAATACTGTTAGCGATAATGGCTGTGTTCAAGAGACATACTTGAAATAGAAAACTCATTTTAGCCACAACTCCAACATTCTAATGTCTTACAAGGAATCTTCATCAGGGAACAAGCCTTGCTATACAAATGTACAATGATTATAACCTTGCTCCTCTAAGTGTGTGTTGTACTTTTTAAAATGCTGTACACTGAAGTGAAGTGTTAACACCTAAGAAGTACATTTTGCCCTTACCATTTCATTCAGCTGCAGTATGGGGGTGTCTCCATGTTTCCGTAGAGGCGGGGGAGGTGCCTGTCTCCGTACAGAGATAGACACCGCAGTCATCGTCCTAGTCACAGTCAACAATGTTAACAATGTACAACTAATCGGGTAATATTCCGCAGTCAACCAAATACTAGGATTGTTTGCCCTGTTTGTGACCCCACTCCCCAGCAAAAAAAAATAAAATAAAATAAAATAATAATAATAAATAAATAAATAAATAAATAAATAAATAAAAATAATACTAAAATAAAAATAATTAATCAAATCAAATATTTTATATAATCCATAAAAATGACCTACTAGTATTTAAAATTGAGGTGGAAAGTAAAATAAATCAGTTTTAATAGACCACCCTGCATAATTACATTATTCCAGAAATCCACTACTTCTCCATCAGTTTCTTTCACCATAAACATCTAGATTAACCTAAATAACAGTGATGATACCACAAAAGATAAGTCAGAGACAAGGTAATCTGAAGACTGACTGATTGTTATCAACACAGACGTCAAGATGGAGACATCTGTTGTCACATTAACACACATATCTCTGGTTTTATATCATCATCATTTATAAACTTATATCATTTATATTATTCAAATCTTACATCATTTACTAGTATATTATCAACCCACATATATACTTCTGTAGGGTTTTTTATGTCACCTCTACCTGACACTGACAGCAGAGCAGAGGTCAGTTTCTAAAGATACCTTCAGACCAAGAGAGGTCTTATATATTGAAACAAAATTATTTTCTTCCACTTTAATTAAAAATATATAAATTTACCCTAAAAGAGAATATCTTTCTTTTATTTTGCAATTTTTATTAAACTGAATTAGAGTACTGACGATTTAAATAGGGTCAACATAGACTGAAATTTTATTTTGAAAGTTAGGGCCAGTTTTTGGTCTGAATTTTTTTTTTCTTCGTGAAATAAAATTGTCACCTTTACAAATTGAAAACATATATACTATAACTATTACTAAATTAAACGGAATAGCACTAGGTCAACTTCAGTTTAGGTAAAGTCAAAACTGGTGGGAATGCAAAGAGAAACGAATATAACCCACAATACTTGTATTTGACCCACTTTACTTAGAAATATCATTGAATAGAACCAACAGGTCTGAAAATGGAGGAAAAATAAAAATTGCTTATATAGAGAAATGTTCACAATTCCTCAATATTGTACAATGTTTACTTGTTTGAACAGCAGCAAAAGCTATGTGGCTGACATATAAACTAAAAAAAAAAAACAACAACAACAAAAAAAAAAAAACACTGAGCATCTTCAAATTATACACCTAAGAATCACATCACCTATCAATAAACACCTACTAGTAAACAGCAGTATCTAATATACTTCACACCTGTGACGGCTGTGCCAGCTACTGTATAGCAAACCTCCTTACAGAGAGAATTCAGGTTAGAATATTTTCTGTTTGGCTAAGGATATGGTGAACTGATGTATTATTTTATGAACTAGACTGAAATATATTTTTTCTTATTCAACCCCCTGGGTACTGCAGTCACATCAAGACCTCAGTGAGCTACCCACAACAACTGATGAGCCCAAGCACTTATAAAGAACAGTTGAGCATCTTCTTAAGATTCCCCCATGTTGCATATACATTGCTCAAGAACATCCCACTGACTTCTACTGTGGAATTTTGCAAATAATTTTGACTATCATACTGAAAGTGTGAGTAGAAGTGCAGTGTGATTCTTAATACAGGGAAAAAATCCAGCTCCTAGAGGTTTAACACCTTATCTGTTCATACAACTTCCACGACTTAACACCCTGAGTATGGGAGAATATAATTAAGTGACTACACTGGCTGCTGTGATAACAAGTTCTATCCTGATATACACAGGGTATTGTGTATAATATCCTAACATAACTATCTCTGAAACGCAGGGTGATTTTATCCATGTTGCTATATAACAACGCATGGCTAAGAAAGTTACTTGTTAACCTATGAAAGACAGGGTGATTTTATCCATTTTGCTATGTACAGTACATACTGGCACACGGCTTAAAGATGCATCCTTAACCTATGAACCACAGGGTGATTTTACCCTTGCTTTTGCTGGCTCTAGACTATTTAGGAAAGTAACTGTTTATAGAATACATATAGATCTGAAGTTGGTATTAATCCTATAGCCTACCCCTACTATTGTGTATTACTCCTCTTCCTCCCACTTAACAATAATATCTGCAGTCAATATAATATGCAGTAAATATCTCTATATCTTTTAACAACTAACCTCTTCTGCAAGACAGAATAGATATATCTACTACTTAGCTGAATTACATTCAGTAATCAAACATTTAATTTTTCTCTTCTCTACTCACTCCAGCAGAATAAAGTGTACAAAACACCCTTAACAATATCAATATTCAGTTGCACTGATGTCACTTTAGCTGTCTTCCGTGTCTCGGTGAGGAGAGAAATCCCTGTTTAACACAGCGTGTACTCCCAGCTAGCAAGAATGAGGTTAAACGTCTCTTATTTCATAGCAAGGCAGGCCACAAAGATAAATGTTTGTTATACAAACACCCTGCACCTTATCTGGCTGGATTTTTGAATGAATCAGTTGGGAATGCTGCATTCAGTTTGGTTGTTTTGATTGTTTGAATAGAGTAACTTGAACCAAGCCATGCAAAAAGAAAGAATAAGGAAGGGAGTTTTAAAAATTTGCTAAAGAAGGGAGTTAGAAAAAAAAAAAAAAAAAAAACTCTGTTGGTGACTCAGTTGGTTGGACCCAGTTTGTTTACTGGACATGGCTAGGTTTTCTGTGTCATTTATCAAAGCTGTAGATCTAAAACTATTTATCTCAGTCCAAGTCTTATCTTACATGTAATATATCATCAGCCGTGTCCCGCCACCCCTAGCTGTCTCCAAGCACTTTGATATGTGGAGTAATCTTCTGGCACATGCACCCAAATAATCAATTTTACTTGTTTCTTATAATACATGTACATTATATAACATTTTTAAATTTTTTTTTTTCATTTATTTACTATCACTATATTAAGAGAGAGAGAGAGAGAAAGAGGGAGAGAAAGAGAAAGAGAGAGACTTTATATCTAAAAACATTTCAGTGCTCAATAAATGATGATGATTATTATTATTATTATTATTATTATTATTATTATTATTATTATTATTAATCTACATAAGTCAGCAAATAAAGAATATTGCAATCTATTCTTTGGCTCCTGAATAACTATTATCTCGGAAAACTTCTTGATAGCTTTATATATCAGAGTGTTAACCCGTATTTCCCACATGCCTGTTCTCAGTGCTGACTCAGTCGTCCATGTGGCTTTAATCAGGGGGATATTTTGACAACTGGCAGACCCCTTCTACAGGGTGATATCAAAGTTCATACACAAGGTGGAAATCAGGAAAAGAAAGCCCCCTTTACCACATTAGGGAATGCTGGGGTAGCCCTAAAACTTGCCTGTTTTGTCAAATACTAAAATTGACTTTCTAGTAGATAGACTAGACAAAATAGGGTTGGTTTGACTTGTTTTGGTCAAAGTTCAACCATTTGTTGAAAAAGAAAATTGATAGAGCTAACCTAGTGATTCTTTAAGGCTGCATTTACAACAATGGGCTAACTAGTCAGTGGATCAAATATGGCGATCCACTTAAAGGGTAACCATTCAATCCCCTATTAAAACCTGAACCGATTCCTTGCTTGGATTACACAACAGGCATTCAAGTTGGTCAGCTGTATTTAACCTGCAAACTAATGAGAGAACAGTTTCATTAGCTCTGTATGTATAAATTCAAATTATTGTTTTTCTTTTTATCAAGAGCTTGTAAAATATGTGGGTATTACCTCCAATACAACACAAGGCCAGTGATTAGGGGCAATTGACCTGGATTTTCATTCCAGGTGAAATGACCCTAGTCATTTACTCCCTGATGATGGTGACTGACAGTCACAGAAATATTGGAGGTAATACCCACATATTTTACAAGCTCTTGATAAAAAGAAAAACAATAATTTGAACTGCAAACTAATGTCCGCTGTTAGGAATGCAACATAACTTTTGTATCCCCCTGTAGGAGGCACAGACACCAACATACCTCATTCAGGGAGTTCTGCTCTATTTCAATCAAAGCATGTTGAACTCTAGAAGAGAGGAGACCAACAAAAGGCGGCACAGGGGATGTTCACACACACAGTAGTGTCACTGGCGGTTGTTTGTTTGCTGAACTTTTTCTCAACAGAGTCGCCGAATAGGAAAGTGAGATTGAAAACATCGCCATGACTGAACCAGATATTTTGCAGCCTGGATAGTGTACTTCATAGATGCCAATATATCATAACATCTGTAAGAGATTCTTTGTTTGGGATTTATAAATTATGGTGGCAAGAGGTGTCGGCTTGTGATACAGGAGTGGAGATACTGTTAGACCAAGCACCGTGAATACACAATTCAGGAATCGTAACCACTTCAATTCACAGACAAATATCAAGCAAATAAATGAGAATGAAGTAAAAAGAGAAAACCAGCAGATTGGTTGAACATCACTGGAATAAAATACTGTCAATATGGGTAGGTATCCTTAACCACAGATGTTATAGAAAACTGATTATATCTCAGGTGAGATAATAAACACCAAGTAATGGTGAGGGGGACATTTGAGTTACCTAAGCTGAAAGAAGAACAAAACAAAGACAAGATTCCTCCTGTCCACTGGGGCGAAAGCTAGGGTGGACATTAGTGGACACTGTCCATTCCCTGACTACTGTAGGAGAGTGGAAGATTGAGAGCTTTTTTTTTTTTTTTTGTAAAGAAGATGGGAATTATGGTGACCAATCTATCAAAGATGAGTGAAGAAGCTTATTTCTTGGTAAGTCTGCATAATTCAGCTGCCGTAAAATAACTATGAAACAAGAAATGTACTTGTAGCTTACTAGTACTAGACTTTAAATGTTAACGGTCAGTTTTTGTTCAAACTGTCACCGTTGGGATCCCTTAAAAGTCACTGAACGGATATATATATATATTTTTTTTTCAAGTGCTTTAAGAGATAGCTGAATATGACAGACACACTGAAAGCACTTTTCTTGAAGTTTTTTTGTATTAAAACTCCCAGCTGTAAAATCTACCACAAAAATAACCTTATTAACACTGTAGTAAAGGTCTTCAGCAGTAACAAATGTCAACAATTTGGAGTGGAAATGTCAAAAATATGTTTTTTTTTTTTTTTCAAAGAAAATGAACCATAAGAAAACCTTTTAACAGGCCAAAGTAGTAAAGAGCATCACTCCTAAAACAAAACAATCTTTCGTGTGCCAAACTTTATTTTATTGCTCTGGGTGTAAAGCAATTATCTAAAAATAAGGTCAAAATACAGCCTTCTTTAACATGTTATTTTTTCAAAATTTCTAATGTGCTCAATCAACTTAATTTTGTATCGCTTTAGGGGAAAAAAACCACCTCGCTTGTAAACCCATGCTCCAAAATATGACATGCTGAAAGATATGTCTGTACTAGTTATCTGGTGCCAGTTGCTATGGCAACATGGATCAGGTTATAATGAACAACCACATTCTATGTAAGCCAGAGCTCTCCTACAGATGAGAAGTGTTCTTGTATATATGCCAAGGAATTGTTCACCTCACACAGTACATTTTATTCATTTGGCTGAATTTGAAAGAGGATTGGTGAGTTTTACTGTGTATTGTCCTTAACTCGTGTGTGTGTGTATATGTGTGTGTGTGTGTGTGAGAGAGAGAGAGAGAACAACTATTAGAAAACTTTCCATATTATGTTGGCATATTTCTTATGGCATAGCCTCATCCATTTGATGCAGTTGCTATGACAGCAAACAAGTTCACAACATGATGATTAAAATTAGAACTGCTTATGGCACCTTTCAATGTCACTGTCACCGTATTTACCCTGACAGATAACAATTAGCAAAACACCAGGGGAAATTTTTCTATGGACTAACATGATAATTAAGGCCAAATATATTTACAATTTTGTCAATAACTTCTTTATTGTACTGATATTAGTAGTGAGTCAAAAATCATATATCATCCTTAGCACAAGCAATATTTGATTCTACACCCAGAAAAATACTTTTATTTTTTTATTCTTTTTATTACCGCTATTATCATAATAAACTCAACTAGAAAGCAGCAGGAAAAGTCTCATCCAGAAAATGTGTTGTGTTTGGTGTCTGTGTCTTATCTAACGCAATGAGCTTAGACAGTAGCTGACAACAACTTGCACATGACACCCCAGAGTGACATGATATACATGTCTGATATATAGACATGTTGAACTCCAGTAGAGAGGAGACCAACAATACAGGCACTGATAAGATCACTTAGCACTTTATTTATTCATATAGCTAATCATTAAACTAAGTCCTCCTTGGCTGAATGACCCTGGCTTGCACATGACATTTGACCTAAATTGTTCAAGGCTTTGTGTATCACATGATATCATGTGGCAGGGTTTTTAACATGTTAAGTAAATAATACTAAGATTGGATAGGTCAGAATAATCATAGACTGTTGCATAAAAATTAAACTGCCAAACTTAATTGTGCTCTTAATTGTTTAATTGTCATAAGAGAACATTTTAGCTTTGTCTAACCCATCTGTTCTTCATATATAGAATGATATTCTAAAGACCCCATTACCTGAATTGCCTTATCATATTGTACACGTATCACCTAGGAGCAATGACATACCTGAGCTGGTGTGGTGATGACCCCAGAGATAACATCTGGGTACAATGTACATCTTTACCACTGCTCACAGTGGGCCATCTTAATTATTGATATCTTTATATCACAGCCAAACAAATATACAAATCACAATTGAAAAAAATCTAAGTTTTGTATAGACCCAAATTGTTTGTTAATATTTTCTTTGCTTGTAAATAATGATCAATTCTGGTGCAGTCATCTGTATTCATATGAGGGTTATTAGTTTAGCTGTATGGTAAGAAGTTAATCTAGGGTTGCCATACCGGGGCACTTTAATATAACATACTGGCATCGACTTACATGCACAGGACTACACTGTAGTAAATGCTGTGATGAAATGAACAGCTTACCAGTAATGTCATAGGATTTATGCCCTCCCCTGTGCTAAATAATTCTCCTGGGGGGGGGGGGGGGGGGGGGGGGGCAGAAGGTAGAGAAATATATTGTGCTCTGCAGAAAAAAAAATCTTATTTTCTATAATCACTTGACATAATTAACCAAGAGTTCTGGGAATCCACAAACGTTTCTGAAAGTGCACCATTTCTATTCCAGCGACATTCTCCACTGTACACATTGCCTACAACTTGCCAGAACTTATTTGGTCGCCTGGTACGAGTGACTGATAGGTGATTTAGTTTACTGATGGGTTTACTTGTAAAATAAAACTCAAAAATAAAACGTTGCGAGGGTTCGCATAAATACTACCAAAATCTTCACGGACTATGAATACCTGGTCCAAGTAAAATTCGGCGCAACACTGAAACACTGAAAGTTTAAACGTAAACACTTTAACAGCAATATTGCATTGCAGTTTTGCACATTTCTTAACACAAACCTCGTTCGAAAGCTGCTGAATCACCATGATCTTCTATTCCTTGACCCAGACGCCAATGTTCCAGTGGGAATTAAAGATGAATTAATTAAATCTGGGAAGATTTTCCTCTTGCACTTAGTTGACCGCCATAATTATGGAGGCCGCCATGTTTTTTAAGACGATGTTGTGCTGCCACCTATCGACAATTTTTCTAAGACAAACACCATTCCACACGTGAGTAAAAGGGTAACGTACGTTGTACTGTCCCATTTATATTTAACCAGGTCAAATAAACTTAATTGCGCATGCGGATATGAAAACAAGCACCGTATGTGAGAATTAAAGTTGCACAAAGTGTTTGTAAGCTGACGTTCAAGCCTAGGTGAGCTTGAGCGAAACTAGAGCATGACCCTAATAATATCAGACTTGATTGTTGCACTAGTTGAATTCTCAGTCTACAGGGGGCGCCAGTAGACTGTTACAAAGACGTTGAAAGGCACCCTGTGAAACTTTCGCCAATCAATGAGTACGCAGGCCCGTAGGCAGCAATTTCAAAAGGGGGGGGGGGGTCTTTTTCTGAAAAAGTGGACCTTTTCCCATAAAAACTTCATCTACCTAGATCAAATTTTACCCAGAGTGGACTTTTTCCCAGCAAAAGGGGCGGTTCTTTCGAACCCCCCGAACCCCCCCTGGCTACGGGCCTGGTATGTGATCTTCGCCACACAAACCCTTTATTATTGACAGAAGGGGGAGGGTTAATTCACACCTACTGTACATGTAGGGGCAGAGTAGTGTACATCCTTGTCTGTGCTATGTTATGTAAGTCAAGCTTTAGACTTAGACTGGATTCCCATGCCTAGATCCATCCAACAGGATCGCTCTAACTCCGTGGGGATTCACGCTAAATTGCTATCAACTTTAGCGGCTTAAATGTCTGTCACGTCCTTCGAAAAACAGTTAGGGGATAATTAACTTTCATGCACACTCGGCCTCCTGTAATTAATTAATTAATTGCCCCCAAACAGCTTCTGTAGGCGTGACAGCCATTAAAGCTGCTTCAGTTGATAGCAATTTAGTGGTAATCCCTGTGGAGATAGATTGTTTGTATGATATCTCTGGGAATTCTGGTCTCCTACTCTAGATTCCCTGCCAGATGATTACATCTGGAACCCTGCAGTTAACCCCCTCTACTGCTGGACCACCAGTGTAGGGCCGGGGTGGGGGGTTTCATTTTACAGTGTATAATTGAAGTGGATGACTTATCACAGGGGCTCTAGTGGCGGATTTAGAGGGGGGATCTGGTGGGTTCTCCCCCCCCCCCCCCTTTTTTTTGGTTTCTGAAAAATACATATTGAGCACCGAAATTCCCCTCTTGAAATTAAAATTTTGACTAGTTGATTGGTAGTTCTGAACCGTACCAAAGGCCACCATTTGCCCTCCAAAACAACAAAAAAATTCCGGAGCCCTTGAGCAGGCCCTGAACCCCCAGCCATTAAGTTGGCGATGGTTAGCTTAGCAGGTGTGTTGTTCCGGACCACCCTTCAAATAATTCTGAATCCGCCGTAGGGCTCACAGTGAAAATGTGTACACCATGTTAGGAGTCCCTGATTTCAGACGGTAGTGAACTTCTACTACTATTAGAATCCATATCAGTACTTGCATAAATCTTCCACTTTGGATTCATTTTATGGCAGTTTGAAAAGAAAAAGTGAACTTTCCCCTGATGTTTTTTTTTTTTTTTTTTTTTTTTGGGGGGGGGGGGTTCTGCCTTTATTTTCCTCTTATACTAGACAGTGCGGTGAAATTGATGACTTTGATTAGTTTGAAGTTTTAATTTTTTGTTTGCTGAAGCTAATTTTTAATTTTTTTTTTTTTCAATATTTTCAGGTGGAGACAAAATCATAAATTTCACAGATCACGTCAAAGACAGATGCCATGTTCAAGTGTGGCCTCTTGATACTGACTTCGCCTCTCTCAAAGATCCCACAATGCATCAGTGCACTACTGTCTGCATCAATGAAATACGTCAGCGAGACACTGTATATACACATAGAGCCTGGATGGAAGGGCGGGCCAAGTCTAGCCAATCAAAAATTTGGATCTTTTCAGTGCAGACCTACAGTTTTGATTCGTAATGTTACAACTGGTGTGTATGCCAATGCTGCCTCCACGTGCGGTCAGCTTGACGTGCGGGTTTTACTGAGTTCCTTTACTGCCAAACAGGCACCCCATTCTCAACAAACATTAAGACGAGCATATGACATCATTCTCACAGATCATAAGCTCCATGCAGGATTTGCTGAACAAGTGCTTGAAAAATACCCACTAGCCATCATCCCCAATGTTCAAGTCCTGGAGGCAAATACCTCATTGGGTGGATGTCATACAGAGAGTGGTGATACTCTCAGCACTGAAGACGTACCACTTGGGACCTACGACTATATTGCACTTGGAGGTACATTTGACAGATTCCATGGTGGACACAAAATCCTCCTCTCGGAAGCCTGCCTGATTTGTGATAGATTCCTCACTGTTGGAGTGACGGATGGAGACATGAATGCCAGTAAGTTATCCCCGGTCATTTTAAAAAATCCCAAGCAATATTTGGGCCATATTGTTGTTGTTTTTTTTTTTTTTTTTTTTTTTTGAAGGACATTAAACATTTCAAAAAAAAAAAAAAATTTTAAAAAGTAACAAAGTTGGAAGGCCCATTTTGTAAGTGTATATTCCATTATACGTGAGGTAGATTTAGGCCAAAAAATTAGGATTAAAAAGATAGTAAGGAAAATAGTAATAGTTAAGGGGCCCGCACACGGTGAGCATTCGGCGCGCCACTTGCGCTGCGCCAGATGCTTGTGCTCCTCAGCTCCCCGCAAACGATGCGCTCCTTGCTTAGCAGATATTGCCTCCCGGCCTGCCCCTATCGGACGCACCGCGAACTGTGGAATCATGTGATTAAGGAAACATTACATATTTATTTTTTTTTCTGAAAGTAATGGCAAATGGTGACCACGTTAATCAATCAGACTAACTATAACTGTGTACGTTTTTGTTTACTTCGCTGGAGGCTGCCATTTTTCTTCGTTTCCGGCTACCGGCACATGCGCATTGTTGGCATGGCGTGAGCAATCGGTGCTTGCACCCTGCACACACATAGACATTTGCCTCAAGAGACCAAAAATATCAAACACGTGAGATATTTTGCTCAGGGGCGTGAGAGGCAAAAATCTCACCAAAATAGCCCCGCACACGATGAGAAAACGGCGCAGCGCAAGTGGCGCGCACCAAATGCTCACCGTGTGCGGGCCCCTTTAGGGAGCATCTGGGAAGGACATAAAATGGACACGGAATTTTATCTTTTAACTTCAATACCAAAACTCCGCTCTGTCTTTGGAGGTATTTAAAAAATCAAGTCAAAATATGAATATTTGATAGTTTCACTTTCTAGATTCTTATAAAGTGTTTTTGAAAAAAAATTCATTAAGAAGTTTTGCTTAAATAAAATTTAAGTTTCTGGGAAGGATGCATCTGGGAAGGACATTTTGTCCATTGCTAAATAAAATGTAAAACAAGGCTAATATTATGATATATTTACCAACACAAGTTTGATGAATAATACCAAAGACAAATGTCTTTCCATGATTATATATTTCATCTTCAAATGTGTTACAGTAATATTATATTAGGCTGTGATAGGAGTTCTCATCTGCTCTGATCATCTTGAAATATAGTGTTGGAACATTTAGAAGAAAATTTTACCAAACTCATTACAGTAATTGAAATATTATAAATTGTCTGAATTGATATAACTTCAAAATTATTCATCAAAATCTAATGTCTTTCAAGTTAAAAGTGCTTCTAATACATATATAGTAACTGTGCATTCTAAGTTCAAGAATGTCTTGAAAGGCCAGCATAAGGGTTTAGAATGTGTTGGTCACCTGATCTCTTATTGTCCAATCAGAATGCCTAAGGTGTTTCCACAGTGCCTGGTGTCTTGATTACGGATTATAAATTCTGTATTAGGCCCAACACCAACATTTTATTTTTATTTCAAATTGCTGGTCCACATGTATAGAAAATTTAATTTTGCATTGTCATGATGAAATGAACTAAATGAGTATAAGATGGTTATTTTGGTGTAAAACAATGTTACCAATGTACTAGTAGGGTACTCTCTTATCTGCTCTTTTCTCTGGAAACCTTGCATTTTTTTAAAAATAAATTGCTGCCACTAGTGCAGCTTACTCTGGTTAAAAAAAAAAAACACAAAACACAAAAGTCAGTGTTCTTCTTTTATTTTCTGAAACACTACACTGCACAAGTCGCATCTACTTTGAGACTATTAAAAATAAAATATTTTTTGTACATTAAAAGAGGCTAAAAGGCTGTACATTTATGCTTTCTAATTGCAAACATGGTTAACAGGCAGGGAAAAGTGGACCAACTTGACTGGCTGACCTTGACCCCCACATGGTGAAAGAAGACACCTTTGAATGGCAGAAGAGCAAAATTTAACAACAAAAAATTACAAAATTAAAAAGAAATACAAAATAAATACCAGAAATAATTAAAGAATATACATGTGTAAATATATATATATATATATATATATATATATATATATATATATATATATATATATATATATATATGTTAACAGTTTGTTGTTATAAATAAATATAGTTTCTCTTGCATTCTGCTATCTCAGCTGTACATAAGGCAAACTACATATCTTCTGGTTTCTTCAACCTATCCTTGTTATCAATGGTAACATAAGGTTTTTATATACATCAGTATTGTGATATTTTTACACAACTGTAAAATGTGATCAGTATTTACTGTAAGTACTGAAATGTCTTAACTGTGCCCATATGTTCTCCCACCACCAGCTGGCCGGCAGGGTTGATGGCTAATGCTATAGGCCTCTCTAACCCATCATTCCTAGTAGCAATGTATCTGATAAGCTGTCCCTGTGGACTCAGTGCCACTATCCTGTGGTTCCAATAGTCAGCAATGAATATGTGACCAAAGCTGTCTGTACT